TTCTTTTTGTTTATTTATTTTGCAGTGTCTTATAAACAAATAGTTCCGAAATGCTTAAAAAAAAAAGAAGAAATTTCTCATTTCACGACTATAGAAATTTCTCCTCTTTTCATTTTACTTCTTTTTTTTTTCTTTTTCTTTCATTCGTTTAAATAAAACGAATGCAAAACTCGTGCTAAAAATCGATCATACCCCTTGATTAATTGAAACATGGAGGAGAAACTTCGTATATGATACGCGAACACAAAATACAAACACGTCTCGTGTTTTTCAATCGATTACCGCTATCGTCTTTCTCCATGCACTTAATAATGTGCTTAACAGTCGAATTTATAAAATACAAGCAAAATTCCTAAATCCGTGGAACATTTTGTCGAACGATTGTGCATACGAAAACGGAGACTTTAAAAACAATTTATACAATTTATTGCTTCCACAAGTGTTTAATATTTTTATATTAATCATTATTATTATTACTTCATTCACAGCGAAGCTTGCAACGTATATAAATAATACGCTAAACGAAAAAGAACCATGCACTGATTAGGCACACAATTCTCGAAGTCGATTTACAGCCTAAATTGCTCGTTGATCGGTCCTAAAAATTAAAATTAACCTCCTTCGATTCTACGTCAACTTTACACAGTATAAGCGTTCTATGACTGCTCGATCAATTGCACTCCGGTACTTTATTATGAAACGTGAAGAGGAAACGACATGATGTACAGTGATGTTCGAGCGTCGTTAAAAAATTATCAAAAATTATCACAATCGGCGATCGTTTCCTTTGAGAATTCCCTTGGACCTGTCTTTTTTTCTTGAGAAAGAGAAAGAGAGAGTGAAAGATAGAGGTTAGAGGAAAGACAGTTTCTCCTCCAAGATAAAAGAGCTCCTATGAATAATCAGTAAAAAAGAGAGACCGGCAGCGACGGAGGGAAACGAAGGTGGTCGTCAAGGAGTAAAATCACAGAAGTACTCGCGACGTGAAGCGAGTGAAGGAGACCGAAGGTAAAGAGTAAAGGGTGACGGTCAAGGATATGCCGGCTGAGGGGTCAGAGTATAGAGCATCGTGCAAGCCAACTTGGTGGCTTCCTCTGTGGCTCGGATGCTTTCAGCTGATGTCCTCCTCCCTTCGGTGGATTTGATGCCTCCTGTTTCAAAATAAATTTGTCTTATTAATATCTGTATCTTCTGTAACATATGTTATGTCTGAGAGTACATAGCAACTAGTATCAAGTATAATGAAGTTCAATCTCCTTGATACTCAAATAAATATTAGTTGCAGTAGTTATTCTAAAAAAAAATGTATTTTAAATTATAAAGCAATTTGCAAATGAAACTTGAATTGCAATCTTTATAGTTACATTTTTGTCTTTTTTACAAAGAAACTTACAGAGAAATTTTCTGCAAAAAGACTTCTAACGAAAGAATAGCAAAGAATAATAGCAAATAACAAATGTTAGTAATCAATAACAAAATATAATCATTATGTTATTTTTCATCAACAAGACCTTTTATCATTGTAATATTAAAGTATAATATGTAATGCTAAATATATACACATATTTAATCTTCATTAATGTCACATATTCAACTTATTATAATACAATGAAAAAAGAGATAATATTGACATTTTTATGCTCGAAAAAATACGATTTTTTGAAAAACTAGTCACATGCAAAAAAATAAGTAATACAATATTCTGGCAAAAGTAAACTTAGATACATTTAGTAAGTAAAAATTTAAAAGCAAAAAGTTAAAAATATTAGCAAAGCATGCATGTTATCATAAAAATAATAATAAAAAACTAAATAATAAATATTAAAAGAAGTGTTTGTAATATGTGAGTATATGCATTTAAGTCATTAATATGTACATATATAGGCTGTTAATGTACACATTATTACATAACACAAAGCTAACAGAAAGTTATAAAAACAATATGACATAATATGTATTAGATATCATAAATAAGGAAAGCACATTCCAACACAAACTGAAGTGAAATATGTATTACAGAAATTTGAATGAAATGTGATAGTAGATTAGTTAATGAGAAAAGTTTTTTTAATTTCGTTACACTGAATCAGAATGTATTCTTTTTTAAACAGTGAAAGACTTTTAAAATGTCAGAAAAGAAATCGTAATCTTAAATTAACTAACAATAAATGATAGCAATTAACAAAAATAAACTATTTTTTACATTCTAATACAGTGTATCATGTATTTGTAGTAAATACAGCTAAATTACAAGCAGTCATGTAAAATATGTAATATGTAGAGAAACAGTTACCTTCTGCCGAGACAGACCCGCACCAAACACAGAGAAACAGACACAGAAAACAAAGAAATGGTGGTTAATCAATGTAAAACTAATTACTAAAACAAATCTGTAAAAGCAACTAAACTGTGTCTAACAAATGTCAGTTTTAACCTCTGGTATATGATGATATCAAATTCCAGAGTTTCCATTAAGAAAAATCACTATTTACATTTATAGTATTTCTTCACATAGTTAAATTAACATGAGTACTCAATATAATTGAGAGCAACTGTAAAACACTAAAACAGTTATAATTTAAGAATATTAAGCAATTGCAATTCAACTGATACAGTTCCAACTTTACTTTAAATTAAACATTTTATTTAAATTTAATTCATCTCTTATATATTTTAAGTTAATAACAATGTAATTACGTTCAACATTGTTCTTCAGTTTATTAAAAATGATTTATCTTGACTAACTAGAGTTTACTAAATGAATTAATTCCAATATTCTACAAACATTATCTTTGAGTAATATTTACATATATTGCCTTATATTTACTTATTTAGTGAATAAAAATTTAATTTTGTATATAGCATGCTGTACCATGTAAATCTTACATGATTACGTATTTGAAAATTTACGTATACTTCCGTTTGATACGAAATCGGTACATCTCAGTTCATAGTAATACATTTCTCATAAAAGAAACTAATACTCTATAAAAATTCTAATGACTTATTAAAGAAAAGTAATAATGAAATTTTAAAGTTCTCAAAGTATATTTATAAAAATAACAATATTTATTTAGACATTGCAATACTTTTCTGTATTAAGTCAACAATGAAACAAATGTACTACTATAATTCAACACTTTAATTTTATTTAGAAAAGAAATAATCACTATTACTTAAAGATAATGATTAATACACAATTGATAACATTGCATGTGGTTCAAATAACAAATAACAAATAAAACAAAAAATTATTTTAATGATTAATTTAAATTTACTAAATCATGTTTTTTTATAATATGTTTATTCATTCTGAATTCTTTAATCTGTGTTATTTTATTGACAGTTCTAATTAGATTCTTATGTTTCACTACTCTAACTAAGAAAAGGAAAAACAGCATTAGTATATTAAAAAAAGGATATTTACCAGTTTCTTTTCCATTTTGGCCTTAATATCTCGTGCAAGAGTATAAAAAGCCTCTTCAACATTGATGCTCGACTTAGCAGAGGTTTCCATAAATTTGATTCCATATTCAACAGCTAATTGTTCTCCTCGTTCCTTTGAAACCTGCCGCTTTTCTGTGAGTTCACACTTATTGCCCAATAACATTTTTTCAACATCTGCCGAAGCATTTTCTTCAATGTTTCTGATCCAATTCTTAATGTTTTCAAAACTCTTCTCATTGGTCACATCATAAACTAACATTATACCCATTGCACCACGATAATATGCTGTAGTTATTGTACGAAACCTTTCTTGACCTGCTGTATCCCTTCAAAAAGTCATAAAACAATTTTATTTGAATAAAGTATTGGTAAAACAACATGCTATATGTGCTCTATTAAAAACAAAAAAAAACATTACATTCTTTTGATATACATAATTTAAATACTATAATTGTTTAAGAAGAAAGAACTAGAAGGGAAATTAAAGCTGCCGGATAATATCTCAAGTGCAATAATTGTTTTCAACAAACTAACTAAATTCTATGTTATGTACCTGTTAAACTCACTATATGCTAATATTACTAGATCCTAACAGTGGCATTGTACACTATTTTATTTATTTAGCACTTACCATATTTGTAGTTTTATTTTCTTGCCATCTAATTCTATTGTTCTTATTTTAAAATCAATTCCTGGAAGCAAGAAACAAATTTGTAACATAAATGAATGACTAAAG